CTGTATGTTGTAGATGACTCCTGTTTTTTCTTCCTGGGCTACTGGGTCTTTTGGTTTAGTTAGAATGTTTTGGAGGGCTTTACTTGGTTTGTGTGCTACAGTGATGCTGTGTGGCTGTAATAGTCTGTTAGTTGTTTCTGAGATGTTTCTGATATAAGACAGTGTTATCCTTTTCATAGCTTGTGTTGGTTGTGTTGTAGTGAGTTGAATGGCCAGGCACTTTTTGATGCACGGGTATCCATTTTGTTGGAAGATGTTGTATAGGCAATCTGATTCCTTTTTCTGATATTCTGGGTTGTTGCAGTGCATTTGTGCTCATCTGAATAATGTTCTTACACAGCTCCTCTTGTGGGAGGTTGGGTTGTTACTTTGGTAATGGAATACTTGGTTAGTGTGGATTGTTTTCTGATCGACTTGTGTTTCTAATTTGCCATCATTTCCTCTGCTGATGGGGATATCCAGTAAGGGTAGTGTGTTGTTGTTTTCTTCTTCCCTTGTGAATTTTATTCCTCTGAAGATATTGTTGATGGTTTCATGTGTCTTCTCTAGTTGTTCCTTTTTTATTATGAGAAAGGTGTCATCTACATACCAGATCCATACTTTTGGTTATATGCGTGGGAGTGCTATGGTTTCTAGATGCTGTATTAGAGTCTCTGCTATGAGTCCTGAGAGTGGATATCCCATGGATGTTCCTCTGATTTGTTGGTATATTTGTCCATCAAACTGAAAGTAGGTAGTGAGGCAAAGGTTGATTCATGATTCTGGGTGTTTCAATTTTAGTGTATTTGGGTAGGTCGGGTGTGTTGTGTAGTACTGCTGTCATAGATTCTTTTGCTAGTTCTGGGTCTATGGATGTAAAGAGTGCTGTGACATCAAATGAAACTATAATTTCATCTTCATCTGTTTTTAGGTCTTTGATTTTCTGGAGGCCCTGTAGTGGGGAGTTGATAAAATATTTACTCCCCTCTGTGAGATATCCAACATTTTTTGTAAGTTCTTTCACTATGTTGTGTGTTGGGGTCCCTGGTAACAATTCAATTGGACAAAGAGGTATGTTAGGCTTGTGTATTTTTGGGTGTCCATAGAAGTATGGGAGGATGAGTCCACTGTTTTTCATCTGCCACTGTTCTTCTTTTGTGATTTGACCTTTCTTAGTTAGGTCATTAAGGGTTGTCTAGTTTCTGTATTAGCCTACACCTAGATAAGCAGGGATTAACATCAGACAAACAATCAAGCAGCAAATAATACCCTAATCAAGGAACTACCAAAGAGAAAACCATACTCCCACCAACACCAATATACTTATACTATATATAAATAGGGAGCAAACCCCACACTCGCTATTGTCAATGATGTTACCTAGTTGGGTAATGAAATGTCTGCAATCAAACAACGAAGTTCAGAGAGGACTGAGGACTCCAGAGTTCAACCCTTAGCTTCATATATTCTCTTCTTATGGAATCACCTCAGGAAAATTAACAGAGTCTTAAACTGAACAGATTAGCACAGAAGCCTGAAAAAAGAGTCACAACTTTAATAGCAGAGATCTGTTGGATTCACATGAAGACCAAAGCATGTCTTCCAAATTATTTGCAAGGCACAAACAGTGTTAATGTGTTGCTTGATTTCTTCATGGGAAGCTATGGTTTCCTTATAGTGCTCCTCCTAGGTTGTCTTGCAACTGATCATCACCTTCACACAAAAGCTTTGTGGTTCTAATCTTTTCCTTCAAGATAAGAGGTAAACAGTCCTTGTGAACTACAATCCCATTGAACTTCACTACCATGCTACCTCCACAGCTGTTTCCATTTCTCTCAGTTTTTGGCTACTATAGCATTTATAAAATGTTACTGAGCATGAACCATCTTTGTAATAGCATGGAAAATGAGCAAGGTAACTGACTAGCTAGTGGATTATAATCAATTTATAACTATTGTAGTTGCATATTATGGGATCATTATGTTTATGAGAAAAGATAACAGTGCCTTCAAGTTGAATTCAACTCCCAATAACCAGTTTTCTTAGCAACAGTATAGTAAGAGTTTGCCATTGCCTTTTTCCAAGATGTCTTTTGAATTCTCAATCTAGCCTACAACCCCAGTATCCCCTGTGGTCTCCCATCTAAGCATCAACCAGGAATAACCCTGCTGAGCTTCCAAGTGTGGACATAATCTTCCTGATATTGTCACCTTTGGTAAAATTATTTCTGAAAGAGAAATAATTTAAAGAGTGTTCCTTGGTAGTGAAGTATACAGCAGTGCTATGCTTTGCATTGGATTCTAAAAAAAATTATTTGGAGTCAAAACATTGCACTTACCTTCAGCTGTTTAAAGTAGCCGCATTATTTCCCAGGATCATGTGGAGCTGTAGAGAGCAGTTGCCTGATCATAGGAAAAGACATAGTTGCTTTGAAGAATTACAGACAGGTGCTACATTCATGTTCCTCATATTCTGAAGCACCTTTTTGAAATAATGTTTGAAGCTCTGCGCAGCCCTAGTAGGGAGTTATGCACTCATGTTGTTTAAAAACAGGGCAGTTTATGTGCAAATGTTTACTTTGACTTAGCAACAAATATTTATCTTTTTATGCTAGGATGAATATGAAGAGCTGCTTCGTTATGCTGTAGTTACCCCTAAATTTGAGCCAAGTGCATTACAACAGTCAGATCACGTGGAGGTTCGTCAGATATCTGCAGGTAACGTGTTTGGAAATGGGCTTTTTTCAAGACATAAAGGTTGGCTTATTTTATGAACAAATTAAAGGTGCAGGACCAACCATGCTGACATCTGAGAATCCATGGCAGAAATAGGGTTTCCAGTTGAATAGGCTGAAGACCTTTCTTATTTTGGGATGTGGACTATTCTGCATAGTTTATTACTTAAGATTTATATGTATGCTTTTGAGCTAGCCACTACCCTAGTGAAACATAGACATTATAGAAAGTTGTCTTAAACAAAGTCAAGCCGTGAGTTCATCTGGTTCAGTCTTGTCTGTGATGACTAACAGAAAGTCTTCAGGATTTGAGAGAATCCAGAAGATTGGAATTTGGTGACTCTTGGTGCTTATTCTGAGATATTCTTTATTTCATCACCCAACTACAAGTATGTAATTTCCATAACTTAGATTACAAAGTTGTTTTCCATTAGAAATATACTTAGAGTTTCTATGATCCCCACACAATCATTTGTAATTTTCATTTTCATGCTAAGACATTCAAAACAAGACGTTTTGTTAATTTATAGTAAGATTTACCTCAAGGAGGCTTTGTGGCATAGTTTGACGCTTGTGTATGTCCTATATTTTTTACAAATATTCTAAGTAAAGTAATTATATTTAGCTAAGGTAGACATAGAATTCTTCTTATTGAGTCACAGTGTGAAAGTTAAAGTGGTAGTTCACTCATAGGAAAGATAGATATTTAATAATTTGCATTAGTCACTGGGTTTTAGCCAGCAATTCATTTTTGAGGCATTTCTAAAAATATCAGTTCTATGAATATCTACTTTTTTGCAAATGTTAAATACTATTTTAATTCATCTTAATGCTATTAATTTATTTAGCATATTTATACGGCTACCCATCTTAAATAACTCTAGGTGGCTGACAAAAATCTAGATAAAAACACAACATAAAAACCATGAGATAGCATTTGGGTTTTTTGTTCCACATTTTTTCTCCCCATCTTTGCTCACCTTGTTAGCTGTTTGCTCACCTTCAGTGTAAAGGCATGTGAAGTAATTTACTCTTGTATCAGAACTGGCCAAGGAATGTTCCCACAACTGTTCTTCATTGCGGAGGGCTCAGTGCAATGACTAGAACATACCATTCCCCTCTCCAGAGAGCAAGGATGGGCATACCTTTTGCTGGTAATCAGCTGTAGACAAAAGTTTTGAGTGGCTATCATATCACACATTGGGGTGGAGATTGTTTTCTAACCATGAAATCCTTTTCCAGGGGTGAGAATTTTCACCTTCCTGGTTGATTATTTTTCAGCCATTATGGCTAGAGGGGGCTCTGGTGTCCACTGGAAAGAGAATCAGGGCCACATGTGTCTCTGGGACCATGAAGCTGTCTTTACCTACAGAGGAACATTAACTCTTTTGGCTGTTGTACTCTAATGACATGGACGTCTATTCTGAAAACAAGTCTTGACGTAACAGTAATATTGTTTCTGCCCACTATCAAAATAAATAGCAGAAAGGTGATTAGAGAGTCCATTTATAGATCTGGAATCATAACCTGCACCTAAAAGGAGTCCTCTAATCTGGAGCTGGAAAGGGACGCAAAGAATTGGTTATGATTAACTGCAAAGATACTGTATGAATTTACAGACAAAGGGCTCCATTCATTTACATATCTAATGGAAGCAAGTCTTCTTTGAACAAAGAGAATTAATTTCTAAATAAATATAAAAGGATTGTATTAAGTAGGAAGGGAAAGGACATAGCTGCCACAAATTTTGGCTTTATTATCAAGCCAGTTCAAACTCTTAGTCATTATTTTATTATTTTATACTTAAATAGTATTTGTTTTTTCTTATATTATTATATATTATATTTTATCTCACTTTCTGTTCAAGAAACTTAATTTTTGAAACCATTTCCCCCACCCAAGCAATGTTATGCAGAGTGCAGCTATAACCACAGTTTATGCCAAAAATACACACCAGCGTTAGAGAGATTTAAAGAATGCAATGTCCTTATCTTGTT